TCCTGCAATAACTGTATATCACCCATTGGTCGGAGGATGATACCATTGGACACATCATTGCCCATACAGTTAGTCATGAACGGATAATTTTAGCTTAAAATCTATTTTATGACCTCTATTATATATTTAATATTCTTTTTTCAATAAAAAAAAAAAACAGTTGTATTTAATACTAACGTTCGGCTGCGATAGAATCACTTAGTTTTACAGGATTTTACAACAAAAATCCATCGGGATGAATTTTCTGTAATTTGAAGTCAAAAACAAGAACTGATCCAGTAAATCAATGTATAGCGGACATCACACACACATCAGTTTGTCGTGTTGACCCCGTAGAATGGCGAAACAGCATTAATACTGTTCATTTACGTTAATCATCTAATTATAGCCATATTAGACTGCACTGATCTGGGCTGTCGTAACAACCGCGCTGTTGAACAAAGACTTATCGGGCTTCGTTTCTATTTTATGCTTACCTATAATATATATTTTAATTAAGGTCACCTTGTTTTTAATTCTCTTCGATTCTTTTTCACTTTGTCTTCTTTCTGGGTATATCCGCCAGTTGCCCGTAAACCGTTTAGCCTTATTTCTATCATTAATGAGCGTGTCAGCGATGGGCCTACGGTGTCCGTGGTGATAATGGGAGTGAAGGCACAGTACCGTTGCGTCGAAGAGTCTAAGATGTTACGAAAACAGATGGTTTAAAGCTTGTACCCCCTTCCTACGAGCCAATTTTGCCCTTTATTGTTTTTTGTGACAAAGACAGCCTAACTCAATGACCTGGTTTGCTATTTGTTGGTTCGTCAAGAAGCCGGCCTCTATCTATAGCTCCTCTTTAAACGGATCCGAAGCTATGACGTGGAATTTGAGGGCTTTTTGAGGCCTTAGGAGCTTCAAAGCTGATCTCTATTCACTAATTATCGTGGCGGCCGGCTTTGACAACGTGTTAGCGCCGCTTTAGCAGCAACAGACGTTTCCAGTACCAGAAACGTCCCTGCGGAAGCATTATTTCGCAGCGTCCCTCCATACAAAGGTAGACGTAGAGATAAACAGACTGACAGGTGGATTGGTTGTACACAGAAGCGCATCGCCGGTATAGCTGCAGCTACCACTTCCACGGGAATGCATGGCCGAATGTGAATGTTCCTAATGAACGAAAGGGGTAAAAGGATAGGAAAACGGTTGCCCTTTAGGTTCCTTCCTAAATGGTCTGAAAAAGAGGCGCCAAAAGGGTCGCTATCCTTCAACGTAGGCCAGGACTTGTTGGATAACGCTATATGACTCTAAGAACTGTGCACACCTTCGGGCAGTACGTGGAAGAAGAAGGCCTGAGGATCAAACGAGACATGGAAGTAGCGGGAAGTTGAAGGTCGTCGGGTAGAAGGGAGTCGACACACCAGCTTGCTTTGCTAAACCCTCAATGAGGGACAGGGAGTACTCGGGACTCGAAGAGGTAGGGTCATGCGGGATATTCGGCCTGCAGTAGAACAAAGAAAAGAGCATCGCTACTGAAATTACTTGATAAAATGTAATTTGGCAGATTGGCTGGTCAGAAGGCTGACTGCTCGTTCCAGGTAATTTTCCCACTTTTCACTCTTACTACGACGACGCTCATTGGTTTTCTGATATTTGATTCTACTGCAAGTATTTACATATATACAATACAAAATTGTACTAGCTTTATGGAGGCCCATTAATACATTTTAGGTGGTAATTTGTACGGTACGTGCAGCTAAATAACCTTACAGGTTCAACATTTATTCGTGACGATTTGAAATGGTGTCAACGGAAGTTTGACAAATCGACGTTATTGTTATTAAACCATTCGAAAACCATCTGTGTATAAAAAATATTATATAAAAAAAAACAAAACCGTCGACGTCAGGTAAAGAGCAAAATTCTATGGTTCCTGTTTACTGAGTCCTGTATTTTTTCTTTAAAATCCATGTAGCATTACACTATATTGGTTTTTACAATAGAATTATCTACTGAATATATATATATATATATATATATGCAGAATAATCCGAGTCAACACATCAATCAATCCGAGTCAATCAATATGGATGTCTTCTGTGCTACCTAGGCATTCTCTTGGACGGCGTTAGCACTTCACAGAAACGAGGCACCAATTCTACCGCGTTTTCCACCGGATGGCTCTTAGGAGTTCAAACGAAGCAAAACCTTGTTTTGAAGCACGCAAAATTCGCTCATTGAAAGACTCTTCTTTTTAACTTTTTAAACCCCTTTGTACCGAGCCTATCCATTCAATGTGACGGTAACCGTAGCTTGGATAGCACTAAACGCAGACACGTAAATATAGCTATGTTTTTGAATCGAGGGCTTAAATTCCAGTACTACGGAAAAGGTATGCCATGGTTGTTGGTAGCCGGCACGAGGAGACCGCAGCAGAGCAGTCGAGACTAATCGAACTCCCGTACCAGTATTCGTCACCATGACGCGATGGACAGAATGCGTTCGCGTGCCGCCTTTCTTCCTTCCTTCCTTTGGCACGTCAAGTCTAGCTGACGAACAGAACCGTTCCTCACTTTATCCCTCTGTTTAACGTCAATCGATGCGTTGACATGTCGGGTCATCATTCAGAGTTGAAGGCCGGAACGATAGCTAAGGGATCGCTCGATAGCAGGCTGTACGTAGAAGGCGATATATTCACTACAAGTGTCTGTCTTCGTGTATATAAACAACCGTTGTAAGTGACAGGCTTCAGGACAAAGTCGTGGCAAAAGCAAGAAAATACAAAACCAGATTGTCAATTAAAGTGAAGAAAGCTTGGTGCATTAACGCCAAACGATATTGGTTGAAAAGTTAGTTGATGTCATCGCCATTAACGACCATTTCTCCGTGGTACATCGAGCCAACAAGCAAGCTTATAGGCTTCCTACTTTTCCGGTATACTCAATGGCCGAAGCAGCGTTCCTGCGAATATGTGGATGACTGGGTGCGCCCTGGCCAACCAGAAGCCGCAGCAGGATCAACTTAAACCCTCCTTCGACTATCTCCATTTGTACCTAACTATTATATTATTCTTGCAAAGACTGGCCATTACTCGCGCTCTGTCGGGTTTTTGTTGTTATGGCAGTGGGATCATAAAAACGCCAGGGTTTTCGCTGTGGTTTAACTTCAAGCCTCGGACTTAACCCTGTAACCGGTTGCCCCAGTGAGTCGGCAGTTACGTTATCTGGCAGCAGTCGAGAAGCAATAACCGCTGCCATACGAGCAGCATGAACCGCCGTGATACGACTCAAAGGAGCCCAGTGGTCTTGTGCAGTTGGGCGCAATGTCTTTCAGATAGCCGCAGTTGAAGCAACACGCTCTTATAAATAAAACTCAGCAGCTAGAAACGGAATATACAGTAAATACATAAACTGAGCAGTCCATCTTTTTCAGTACCGCTGTCCTAAGAGGGAAGAAGAACCTAGGAAACAGGTTCGTACAACCAACGATTTATGGTGCTTGCCAGCCAAACAGTCATCACCCTCATCTAATATCAGTAACTTTAGTTACGGTGCTTGACGTGCGACTGTGACTATGGGCGGCCGCCCCCGCATCAAGTTTGTCCTGCTTAATATATAATAACGTTTCAGCCAGCTTATAGCAAAAAGGACAGCGTCATCCATCGGAAAACGATTAAAGTAAAGTACCAAATCTCCGCTCCATCTGGTTAATTAAATGAATACATTTTCTAGGCCATTGAAAGATTTCTAACATATTTATGAATACGTTCATTAAATGAGGGCAGAGCAACAGAACCATAAATATGTTTCTGAGAAGACGTGTCGCGCCTGATGTGGTTATAAACTTCACATAGATTTTGCTCGCTCGAAAATTAAACGTGACATCAGTCGTCGACCGCTCATTATTTCGGCCAGTATACTGAGACGGGCAAAAGTCCAGGTACCCCTGCTACATGTGTGTTGGGCAGTTAAACCTGCTTTATGTCATTATAATTGATTAGTATCTCTTGCTATTTCTAAACACTTTGACTGTTAAGCCAAGTATATGCAGAGTGGTGCATATAAATTGAGAACTTCACTTGGGCTTCTTTTTTCTAAAACAAAAACAAATCTTTCAACAAAATTTCTTTAGATATGTTAGAGGTATCATTGTTGGCAGTCATGTTTATTCAATATAGCTATTATACGCTGAAATCACAACTGGACGTAAAACACTGGCTAATCGTTCTCTAATCTCCGAGTGACATTTTAATAGTAACTGTGTATCAAGCAAGATTTGCAAGTGTGACTTTGTTGAAGTGTAACTCGAATACGTTACATAGGAAAAATTTCAACAAAGCTAACTTTTCGACGGCCCCGAGGTCTGAAAAATGCCAGGGCTCAGAGCGGCCAAAAAGTTCAAAAGGTACGAAAAAGCGTAAAAGTTTAAATTGTTGACGCTTATCTGGACAGTCGAAATGCCAAGACCGTTTCAAAGTAACTAAGGGAAAAAGATATGCTCCGTTTTGAAACGGTCTTGACTTTTTGTGCCAAAATCCTACACGTATCGAAAATGGCTTGTTCAGTCAGTTTGGTGAAGTGACTCTTTCCAAATCTAAATACTACCGACAACCATTCGGACTGCGTCATAAAGGTCATAAAAAAAAAACCGCATAAAAACTGGCAATACTGTAGACCGTCGACCAAAATTAAATTTCTCATCTTGGTGGAAGTGAGTCGAGCATGGAAAGATTAGTTAGCAGACTTTATTGTAGTTGTTTACTCTACAGATTTCAAAAGGGACGTGACAAGTTTGCTGTTTTGCTCTTGATAGAGATCGATAGGGTATATCATGAGTAGCATATGAGAAACGCGTGCTCGTCACGAGAAATCAAAATTGACGCTGATTATATATATATATATATATAGGACGGTGTAAATAATACATATATACCACTTTGATGTTGTGATGTAGGTTTGTGTTGCGCTCTATGTAGTAATAGTACTTTCGTTCCTTGCGTTTGTTTCGTATTGTGTTTGCAGGAGAAAGAACAAATCGTTGTAGAACAGAACGCGTTGTTCCGAGTTGACGAATATGGCTTTTTCATATTCTGGAAAAGTGAAGGGAAAGACGGCCAGGTGTTAGAGCTCTCTCAAGTAAACGACATCCGGCAAGGAGGTGTTCCAAAGGTGAGTATCACAAACAAACGAATTTTACATGTATACCGCCCCATATGGAAGAGCAGCTGCAGAATACGCCTGCGTACTTAAACGCACACATAGAAAGTTAAACCATACTTCACCCTTGTAAGCTGCTCCCCATCTGTATTAACAGTAATAATGATGACAACAAAGACCCGTAAGAAAAAGCAAGATGTGACCAAAGTTACGTTTGGAGCAGGCGGGCAATGCGCAGAGGCGCTCGCTACCAGCATTACCTAATGTGACATGAATGGCCTTTTAGAAGGACTTTTACGCGAGTCACTTGGTGTCCGTACGGAGGAGAAAGCCTCGTCAGGTCCGTAGATGTCAAGCGTGACATTTTTTAATGCTGAAGTAGAAGACCAGCGTTCGTATATACAGTCTGAGCGATCTGGATTTTGGCAGCAGCTGCTGTCTGGCCGAATATTGAGCTATCGAAAGAACGATTCTGAAACAATATTATTAGACTAGACATCTATCGTTTTGGTCAATTAACTTCTGGAATGATTCTGTTAATACCATAATCTTAACTATGTCAGACTTCTGTCGTTCCTGAGCGAAAAGTTGTAACCGATGATTCCTGCATCTCTTCACTAAAACTATATAACACTATTAAAGGTGTTCTGCACAGATCGGAACGAATAACCATCGTGTCTGATGGTGCAAGACTCGGGTTATAGTGCATATACATTAAAGCTTTCGATTCAGGTTCTCTCAATTTTTGTTGGGTAGCAAAAAATACAGCCATTGTCATAATAGTACAGAACGATGCCCTTTCCGTTCACTAGCCCCAGTCGATGTTTTTCTATGATTTGTTGTTATACTATTAGCAGTTGTTGGCAGTACATAGTTTTTTCCAGCCAACAGCAATTCATAATACACGATTTGTTATCAGTGCCACCGAACACGTACTAGCGCTCCTTATCGATTTGCTTCGTCCCGGATTGTATAGCACACGTTTTTTTATTTTTTTTCTTCGCTTGCACAGTATGGTCGTACGTTGCATCAGCCGTAATCAACCCCTCTATAGATAGCTTGATTTCGTCGAGATTCTGTAAAGTCTCAAATCTGTTTCTGTGGAGATCGAAGATCTTTTTTTGCATTAGTTCGAGCTTTTCCATAGCCAGCTTTTTCTAAATAGTTCTTTTTTTGCCGCCGATGTTTATTTTTTCGACGGTATCGCGGCTACTAACCTCTGGGTCCTTCGCAGTCCTGCAAGTGAGCATCCTTTACATCTACAGAGCGAAAATGAACTAACTTTGGATCGATTCCTCCGATATTCACCATGAACAGCAGCAGCAGCAGCAGCAGCAGCATCTTCTTCATGAATCGGGACGGCGTCTGTGTTTTTATTGCAATAAAAGTCCAATTAAAGCGAACTTTCCTGGAACCTTACTTTAAGCACGCCATCCTCTGATGCCCAAACATCCCACAACAAATCTCAACACATCTGCTACAACTCAGCGCAAAGAATCTCAGTTATCAAACAAGATCAACACAACTCAATACTTCTTCGACAACTAAATATAAAAAGCACCCTGGTTAACTCTACTGGTGTACAGTCAGGATGGCGTTCTGGCGAAACATCCCACACTGGGCGGTTACGCAGAGCTGACTGCATGATATATACTATTTTTTTGTTTTGCTATGCGTGTCGTACGGACTGCATAGGGTATATGTGAACTATCTGTGATCTCTGAGTGAAGATCATAACATCTTATGTATTTCAAGAACCTTTAGATATGTAGAAAGCAAAGTCTACCGGGCGATTATAAGAGTCGTGGAAACGTTCTTAACGAATAACGTTCGTCCATTCATTTTTAACGGTATATCTGCAGGGAGAGCTAAGTTTACGAAGACGTGCTTATTTACTCTCTTCTAGGTTGTCGGAAACGTATTGACCGGATAGATGGCTCTGAAGTCTCCTATCGCCTGCGTCAACTTGGCGTTTTATCATTGGCAATCCGAATTTTTAAGTGTGCAGAAGAAAATCGTTGGAATGGCCTTTATTCAGGCTTAGGATAGGGTGTATTGGAGATGACTGAAGTTTCTGTAGAAAATCGTTACATTTTTCAATTTTATGACAGTAAAAAAAAGGAGCTGAAACATTATTCAAGCCCATTGACAAAAGCGGTCCGAAAATACTTCGGTCACTTCCGTTCGATGCTTCTCGTAGTGGAAGAAGTTGTTGAAACTATTACGAAGATCGAGGAACATCGCGAACAAACTTAATCTCCCCCTATAAAACACCATTTTGAAAAGGCTGGTTATAAAAAAAAGTTTGATCTTTGTATGCCACATGAATCTACTCGATCATTTTTCTGTCTGCCAAACTTGGAGATTGAATGAAATCAATGGCTGATGACGGCTGTTGAAAAGTAAACCACCTACGATAACGATTTAAAGAAAACGAGTTTTACAATTTGTAACAAAGTCCAGATTGACACCAGAGAAGAGGTGATGCCACGTATTTGGTGAGGTTCGAAAGTAATCATTCATTTTTAACCGCTCCTGCCTGAAGACACATTGAGTTCGAATTTTTACTGCCAACAACCACCAATAAAAAGAGCGATTGTAAGCAGTGAACAGAAGAGGACTTGTTTTCGGTCATGACAATGACAGATCATACGCATCTTTAGCCAGCCGGAAAAACACGAGAGAACTTCAATGGGAAATTTGTATGCATCCGTTTTAACATCCGAATTTTGTTCCGTCAGCTTATTGTACGTTTCGGTCTCTGTGAAGTTCGCTCAATCGTGTTCGCGCAGTTTCAATGGAGGGCTGGCTGCAACTATCACATGTTACAGTTGTTTTTTTTCCCCCCCAGAAACTACACAAGTTCTAGAGTGATAGAGTTATGGTCTAAAAGGAAAAATCGCATTGAAGATCTAGTTCAGTAATATTATCTTAAAATATAAAACATGTTTAGCTTAAACAGCCAACACTTTCTGGACAACCTAGTGTATAAATATCTGATAGTGGCCAATTTCGTGGTCTGTACCAAGAACGCGGCGGGATTATGATTTTTTTTTTGGCGACTTTTGGCAATCGAGTAGGTTGCCAACTAATGCTGTGATTTTGATTATAATACTATTTTAAAACTTCGCTGCCGTATTAATAAGCCCAAAAGTTTATAGGGCTTTATGCGTAATGGCTATGCAGTCTAAATGTATAGTATAAAGTCCACTATGCAACAATACAAAATGTATATTTTAATTACGGGCTTCAGTATGTAGTAAATCCGCGACAAGTCATATTGACTCCACATTCATCGGAGCATCGACGTCCTTAGCATTGATTACTTTCAGCCTCCTTATCATTTTTGCGCTTCTAAAACATCATTTAACCTAGTTTAGCCTCCATGCGTCCACATGGTCGATACTCTACCGTAGGACTAACTGGAGGCACAATTCTGTCAAACATTATTTTATAATGGAGAGCACCAATACACTCGAATGGTGAGTCCTTGCATATGAACGAACAGCTCACAGGCAAGTCTGTCAACAGAACAGAGACCATACCGTGCATATCGAAGTGCACGTGAAGGTTGGAAGGCGCGTAAGTAAAATTCTACAATTATATAAGACAGGTGGTGATTGTACTTCAGTCCGAATTTCAGGACTCATGAAGATAAAACTGGTCGTTCGAATATTGTACGCAGATCCATTAGAAGTTAACAAAATTTTGTAGCAAGCTGGAGTCGAGGGTTACGTGGCACGGGAATAAGTCCGGCGTATTACAGAGCATCATGCAGGGAAGAATCTAATAGATGAGTCTAGCAGAGGTCAGTCTGGCAACATATAGGATCCAGTCGGTTGGTCATTGTCGAATTAGGGAATTCGCAATGAGAAAACAAAAGATCAAGAGTAAATGGCAAAAGGCAAGATGAAACGTAATTAGATCCAGATGCGCAGAAATTACGTGGGATTAGAAACGAATGAAAAAAAAGTTGAAGCATGGTGTGAGTATGGATGGGGCGATGGTGCGAAAAAAACGTTGAGGGCTAAGAAATCAAAAAGGTACGAGTTTGAAGATACGGAAGGAATATATATACCGGCTTTTAGTGGTTATATTAAGGATATGAACATGTGCATGTATAAATGCCGCTCTTTAGAAACTCAAGTTTGAAAAAGTTTCAATCATACCCGTTTAAATAGGCCGATAAAGTCAAGCAACTTCTTAGCTTGCCAAAAAAAAAAAAAAAAAAGTAAACTTTGCTGTTTAGTAAATGTCTGTATGCATTACTAAGCATGGACTAATGATACCTATTATACAATGTACGGTAGGACACTCGACTTAATATTGCAAAATCATGTTTAGTCTGCATTTGGGCGAACCGTTTATTCTTTATCACGAAACCTCGACGTGCTCTAAAGCTAAAGAAAAGTCTAAAAACACAGACCGTAGCTGGATAGCATGACAACAGAAGCTGGTGAAAGTCGAGAGAAATTTGGGCAGTGTCTTTCTGGTCATGGTCGCTCACTCGGGGTCGTCCGCATCCCAAAGTGCAATTATTTATGTGGCTGTTCAATTGCTTTTGCTTCTTGCTGTTCACTAGACTGAGATATGGCATGAGCCCTGCACAGGTTTTAATTTGCTTCTACCGTCAAACACAAGCAGGGTCAGTAGAGGCGATTTAAATTTATTTGACCTTACCGATATAGGGAAGGCCATCCAGGCCTTGGGGAATTGGCGGAAGCTGAGTCAAAATAGAATACAGATTCTGAAATGGGGAATGCGTATCGATGCATGCTTACGCCCGAAGTTATTGGAGTAGAACCAGCGACAAAGGGAACGGTAGGACTTCAAAGCAAAAGCAGAGGAGCTACCTGAAGAATTATGCCTGAATCAACAGGATACAATATATCTGTAGTTGAACTAATCAGTCGATAATCGATTTGGATCTGAAGCGAGAAAACAAAGCCTTGAAATTTCAACCTTCTTCTCGTTCTTGGTGGTATCACAATGACTGATTATATTGTGGTAAA